TAATTAATGCCACATATGATAACCATATTCCTGGTATGATATTACTAATAGATTTTGAAAAAGCATTTGACTCCATATCATGGAAATTTATGTACAATACGTTGCAGTTTTTAGCTCTTCTGGTCAGAGGCCAGAAGAGCTTATGCGATAGTAATGCGTCCGTCGTCCATCCGTCTGTCTGTCCGACTGTCTGTCTGTCTGTCTGTAAACAATCTTTCAAAATGCTACTCCTCCTACAGTTTGGGTCTGATTTCAATATAACTTGGCACACAAGTAGACTACACTAAGATACATAATTCTTTGTTTCGATTTTTGATTTCGATGAACGGTGTTGCCGTTGTTGCTAAAAATAGAAATTTCTGTGGAATTCTTTCAAAATGCTACTCCTCCTACAGTTTTGGTCTGATTTCAATATAACTTGGCACACAAGTAGAGTACACTAAGATACATAATTCTGTGTATCGGTTTTTGATTTCGATTAACGGTGTTGCCGTTGTTATAAAAATAGAAATTTCTATGAAATTCTTTCAAAATGCTACTCCTCCTACAGTTTTGGTCTGATTTCAATATAACTTGGCATACAAGTAGACTACACTAAGATACATAATTCTGTTTATCAGTTTTTGATTTCGATGAACAGTGTTGCCTTGTTACTAAAAATAGAAATTTCTGTGAAATTCTTTCAAAATGCTACTCCTCCTACAGTTTTGGTCTGATTTCAGTATAACTTGGCACATAAGTAGACTACACTAAGATACGTAATTCTATATATTGGTTTTTGATTTCGATGAACGGTGTTGCCATGGTAACTAAAAATAGAAATTTCTGTTAAAAAATCTCAAAATGCTACTCCTCCTGCAGTTTAAGTCTGATTATAATATAATGTGGCATGCAAGTAGACTATACTAAGAACATAAAGAGACTTAATCAAGGATCATTATTCTTTTTATTGCTGTGGTAAAGTTTCAATTCCCAACTTCTTAAGAACTTTTCTCTTCCTTTGCTATAAGTACAAACCAGTAGAGCTTCAGTCTCGACAGAGACTTGTGGTTTAATTTTGGCCCTGACCTTATTAAATGGGTTTCAGTACTATATAATAAAGCTAAATTATGTGTTATTCAAAATGGCATTTTCTCTAAATTTTTTGAAATCGGTAGGGGTGTCGTCAGGGTGACCCGATATCTCCGTATTTATTTAACCTTTGTGTAGAAATTTTAGGACATATGATACGACAAAATAAAAATATCAAAGGCATTAAAATAGGGAAGGAAAAAGTTTGTCTACTACAACATGCAGATGACACAGTTCTTTTTTTGGATGGATCAGAGAGTTTTAAAAGTGCACTTGATCTTCTTTTTCAATTCTCAAAATTCTCTGGATTAAAGCCTAATATTTCAAAAACAAAAGCAGCCTGGATTGGATCTAAAATTAAAACAGAAAATACTTTATGTAGTGATACAGGATTAAAATGGACAACTGAACCATTTACTGTTCTAGGCATAACATACACTACAAATCTTGAAAAGATGGAAGAGCTTAATTTTGATAATAAATTTAAACTTATTCAGAAAGAAATAAATCATTGGTCTAAAAGAAATATTTCACCTTTAGGAAAAATAACAGTAGTAAAAAGTTTGCTTTTATCAAAGTTTACACACTTATTTATTTGTCTTCCGAAACCAAGGGTGCAGTGGATACAGCAACTAGAAAAAAAACTCTTTATAAATTCATTTGGGGAAATAAAATTGATAAAATATATCTCGAAAAACATTACAGTTAGACTTTGAGAGAGGTGGATGTAGAATGACTAATATAGAAACATTTATTAAATCCCTAAAATTGACATGGATTAGAAGAATATTTACAAATAATTCAAACTGGATAAACATTTTTTCTGAAATTACTGGTTGTAATATTAATAAACTTTGTCAGGTTGGATCTGAATATTGTAAACAAAGGGCAAAAATCATACAAAATATTTTTTGGAAAGAAATTTTGCTTTGTTTTGCTGAATTTTTAGAAAGTTTTAATTTTCATGATGTAGATATATTGTTAGAACCATTGTGGTATAATAATAAGATAAAGATTCAAAATAAATGTGTATTTTATAAGACATTGTATGAAAAAGGGTTCCATGTAGTGCATGATTTATTTGATACAGAAGGCAATTTTATTAGTTATGAAAGTATCACAAATGATTATTTAGTTAAGTTGCCATTCACTACTTATGAGGGACTAAAGCAAGCAGTTTTATACTCATGGCCAAATGTCAAACAATTGTCAAAAACTACTTCTGGTAAACCATACCAACCTGAATTTTTAAAAATACTTTGTCAGAATAAAAAAGGATCCAGAAATATTTATGATCATTTAATGTCTAAAATACAGCACAGACCTATTTGTGAAAACAAATGGGCTATTGATTTAAAGTTGGAATCTGATTTTAAGTGGAAACATATTTAAACAAACTTAAAATACTTAACTAAAGATTCAGCACTGATATGGTTCAATTATAGAATTATTCATTGAATTTTAGGTACAAATAAATACTTACACTTGTCTAAAATTAAAGATTCTCCACTTTGTTCAATATGTGAACAAGAACCAGAAACAATTAAACATTTATTTTTTTACTGTCCCCAAGTTTCTGTGGTTTGGCTGGCACTGTCAGATTGGATTTTTCAAAAGTCTGGTAAAAGAATTGAATTTGATGTAAAGACTGTTAGTTTTGGTAGTTTTGAAAAAGATCATGTAGCTATAAACTTGATTATTCTGTTAGTGAAGAAATATTTATTTCAGCAATCCAGAAACAACTCTTGTATTGTTTTCAAAGATATTTTGAGAGTTTTATATAATTACTATACTTTAGAAGAAAAGCTGTCAGAAAATACTTTTTATAAAAAAAGATGGTCCAATTGGAAATGTCTATTTAATGTGTCAAATTTTGAAAATGTTCTTGACTAATTATTGTTAATATACTTAGTGTCTTCTTTTCCAACATGTATGAACTTGTGTGGATGGTACATCTTGGTATGCATACTACCAGACTTGCCTCAGATGCGACCTACATTTTCGGGTTGAGTGAACAGGTTAAAGTTTTTAGTGCAGGTTTCATTTCCAAGATACTATGAGCCCTATAATGACCAAACTAGCGTGGATGGTACATCTTGGTATGCAATAAACACTACCAGACTTGCCTCAGATGCTGAATCTGACCTACATTTTCCAGTTGAGTGAACAGGTTAAAGTTTTTGGTGCAGGTTTCATTTCCAAGATACTATGAGCCCTACAATGACCAGACTTGCATGGATTGGTACATCTTAGTATGCATACTACCAGACTTGCTTCGGATGTTGAATCTGGCCTACATTTTCCGGATGAGTGAACAGGTTAATGTTTTTGGTGCAGGTTTCATTTCCAAGTTACTAAGAGCCCTATAATGACTAAACTTGCATGGATGATGCATCTTAGGATGCATTCTACCAAACTACCTTTGGATGCTGAATCTGACCTACATTTTCTGGATGAGTGAACATGGTGAACATGTTAAAGTTTTTGGTGCAGGATTCATTTCCAAGTACCTATGAGCTCTTTAATGACCAAACTTGCATGGATGATACATTTAGCTGAATCTGACCTACATTTTTATCTGGATGAGTGAAGAGGTTAAATTTTTATGCAGGTTTCATTTCTAAGTAACTATTATCCCTATGTTGTGCAACCTCGCATGGATGATACATCTGAGGATGCTCCGGATGCTGAATTCGACATACATTTTCCAGATAATGGACCAGGTAAAAGTTATGGATGCAGGTATATTTCCAAGAAACTGTAAGGCTTATGTAAACCAACGGAAACGTGCCCAAATGATGCATCGAGGGATGAAAACTCTTAAACTTTCTTCAGATGCTGGACTTTAATCACATTTTCGTGATGAAAAAATAGCTTTTATATAGGTCTATACCAAAGTATCAGATCAAAATTGCATAAATTTTGCATGTTTGGGTGTACACTTTTTGTTGGGTAATTGTGTGACTTTGCCTTACTTAAAGACAAAATTCGTTGAGGTGAACTCTGTAATCTCTGATTACCTATGTTTAGTTTATATTTTTATTAAACAGTAAATTCAAAATATGAACAACAATTTTGAAATGATGAACAAATTGGTTCTAAAGGTGATATAATATATGCATGCAATATTATGTAATATTAGTTCTATTTTAAGGAAACAAGTAAGACTGACTTTAAAAAGTAAATGGAATGTGAAAAAGAAAGAAATCTACAAACTTTCGGATCAACCGTCGTCATTACTTAATCAGGCATGATGTGAGAACGATATTCAAAAGACGATCTCGGTCATATCTGATAACAATAACGAATTCTCTTTAACTTGCTAAGTCTGCATTAAGATATTGGAATTGTTTAAATTTAATGAAGTGTTTGAACCTTATTGTGAAAGCTAATGTCAGCTATCGCAAAGAAATATCTAATGCCATGGTTCGTTTCTGATGAGCAGTGAATATAAAAATCGTTTAATGAAGGTGAAATTCGTTTTCAAGGTCAACTATGATTCAAGAATTGTCTTGAGAACTGAGAGTGATAACCTGAGTAAATTACTAACAACGGATGCATGGATAAATGTTATTTATATATTATATCTGACTACAATCTGAACTTAATGCAAAATCTATACAAAATTTTTGCTGGACAAATGTAGACTATTCATGAACAAGCATAACGGGTTAAAAGGTCTCAGCGATGTACTTCATTAAAGAAATAAAATATGAATTATTCATACCCGCCATTGAAATCGCCTTGAATTATATAACTACATGTAGGTTGTTATTCTATAAGTTGGAGTCTATTCTCTCAATCACTTCCTGGATTCATGTATTCTATATTGCACACGGTTACGAACAGTTAAATTCTTTACAGTGACAAAGTCTGAAACTGCCCCAATGTTGATGATTTCTTGCTGATATCAAGGTAGATTGCTGGTACACGGATCTGCTAGTCACCATTTCAATGATGTTAAGTCCACAAATAGTATTAGCGAAATCGTGCAGTTAGAGCTACATGGATGACCTATTCCAAAACTGCCAGCTCTAGTTATTTATAAAATATTAAGAAACGAGTGAAACAGTAATTGCCAACCAGACTGCTTTTCTGACATCACCAGTTACGAGTTACACTTCACCTTAACTGGCCGCTTTTCTGACATCACCAGTTACACTTCACCTTAACTGGCCGCTTTTCTGATATCACCATTTACACTTCACTTTAACTGGACGCTTTTCACCAATGTCTGTTGGAGACACTCTGGAGGAGTGTAATTTGTCAACGTCTTTAATTTTTCGATCAATGTAAAGTTTTTTCATTTGTCTCAAAATGTTTTTATGGTAGAGATCGCTGAAGTTTGTTGCAAGGATAGCTACAGGCATGGCCAAAATCAGCATACCAGAAAACGCACATATGCCTCCGACAATGTGCCCAAACGTAGACTTTGGAAACATGTCTCCATACCCCACAGTTGTCATTGTAATTACTGACCACCATATTCCTATCAAAATATCCGAGAAAGAATCTGCCACGTAGAATTCAGCGTAGTAGATAAAACTTGCAAAGAACAGTGACGTGATAAGAAACGTCATTGTTAGGAGAAGCAGATCTCTAAAACTAGCTCGAATCGACATCATCATTATTCTCAAACCAGAGTATACTTTCATCAGTCTGAACACCCGAAATAGCCGCAAAATGAGCAGGGATTTTATCACTAAATAAAATTGAACCAGTTCATAATGCGTCACTAGAAATTCCAGATCTTGTTCGAGGGCAAAGGTCACCCACATGGCAACCACTATGAGAAGGTCAATGATGTTTAAAGCTGATCGAAAATATTTCAGTTTCCTTGGACAAGATATGAAGTGAAAGATTAATTCAAAGGTGAAGAAAATGGACGTGAACATTTCACAATGCCTTAGTGCTTCGTTAGGGAGAGATGTTCCAAGCATGACTTCTTTGGGGTTCTGCAAGTTGAGCTCTTTGAAAAAGCGAATGTCCTTGTACGCAATTATCATCAACAGATCAGCGTATGGTAGCTTTTCTTCTCTGAAAGACGGATGCGCACCCAACACAAAAGTTACCAGGGAGACGATTATAATTGCAAGGAAAATGTAGTTGAAAACCTAGAAACATAAAGGAGTAATTGTTATTCAGTAATGCAGTAAAAAACAATCTGAAATTTTCTGATCGTAGCTCAGTTTCAAAATTGCTACTGTTATAACTACAAAACTTTATGATAAATGTGATGACTAATTTTTCTAGATTGTCGCCTTATTTAGGTAACAATAGGCCTATACCATTGTCACTTGCATACGGACATAATGTACCTAAGTAGATTCGATACGCAAGTGCTTGTCCTAGGTATGAACAATTTCTAAAACAAGGCAAGTTATTGGCAAACAATTTAAGGATATCATCAGTCTCGTAAATAATATGCAGATTTAACTGTTGAAACAATGACCTAAATGTAAGAAAAACAGAATATAATTTATTTGTGAAAAGTGTTGATATTTAAGTCTTTATTTTATTGATTTGGGAAACACTGTGATTCAATTTTTTTTTTTATTTTAAAGATTCCACATTTGATTTACGTGACTCATTAAACATTAAATGTAGTGACATAGTATAAAGTTTCTAATACACGGTAGTTGATATTTTTATATCAAATGTTAGCTGCAGATTTGTAGCTCTCCGAAAAAAATATATTGATAGACCGGAGAGCTACAGTGCCACCCATTAAAGAAAACTGTATATTTATTGCGCACAAAAAAATGCGCTCGGTTCTCCAATTCTTACCTAAATTGCAAAAAAAAAAAAAAAAAAAAATCTAGAATTAAAAAAATCCTTACTCCTCTATCGAGTACTCTCGTAGTTGACATCTGAACGAAGCATGTTGGACCAAATTATCTTTGAAACCAAAATGGCAGTATAAATAAGCGAAATGTCCGATGATTGTAATATCAGGGCCAGGAGGACTATTAACAACAATTATGTAGATTGTTTGGTTGTGGAAACAATGAAATGTTAGGAACACACGGTGAGTAATAATTTGAGATTACAGTTTTAAAAACATGGAGAAATAAATCGAGAAACAGCGCACTTTTTTGTGCGCAATAAATATACAGTTTTTTCAATGGCTGGCACTGTAGCTCTCCGGTCTATCAATATATTTTTTCGGAGAGCTACAGATCTGCAGCTAATCAAATGTGGAATCTTTTTTAAAAAATGGAGTCACAGCTTTATTAGATTTATTTTTATCAGGATGAAAGATTGGAGTGTGTTAGATCACTTACTAGAATTTTTAATATTTTTTTTTACTCAATTCCATAAAGAAAAAAAAAAGAAGAAAAGGTCACATTTATCAGTTGTCTGCATTTCAAAATTACTCGACACTGAAATATTATTATTAAGAAATCCATCATTTGAAAAGGAACTGTGAACAAAAGGTGGATTTCCATATGTGGAGTAAAGTCATGGTTTGCTATAATGCAGTTTTATTTATTATAAAAACAAAGACGACATTCTTTCTTTTTTTAAAATCGTATCAAACTGGCATCTGATTAGCTGGCACCATGGATAGAATAACTGAAAAAACAAGCTAATTCAGAGAATTCGTGTCCCCCGTTTAAAATAAAACAAGCTCCCCCACTGAATTTGTAGAATTATTAAATGTATACATGTATACTGAAGCAAATAAAATACATGTATGTCAATATGCATACATGTATAAAGATTTGATTGCTTATTCTTTATTATGTGTATAGAAGATTTTTTTATATGGAATGTTTATCACAATGTAATGATGATTTTATAACCTCATAAATTTTTCATTTCACATGCTGAATACTATCATTTAGTAAAAAAAAAGTATTTAAAAAAAAAAAAAAAAAAGAAAGGAACGATGCAACCGAGATTCGATCCCGGGCCCTCTCACATTTGAAGCGAGAGACATAACCACTAGACCACGGAGTCGCTTTAATCGGGGGGAAGTATATGCAGAAGTGAAGTCACATACATGTATATATTCATGTTTTCATGTTCGGTATTGTCAAAATTTTACACAATCCATGGTGTTTGATTTATTTAGCCTTTATTAAACAGTTCTAATAGATGTAATAAGAACATAAAGTCCGCCAAGAACCTGTTTTATACGCAATAACTCTCCTCATGCCCCTGCGCTAAAAATAGCGCCATGTAATACTATAAATACTAATAAAACAAACGGGGCGGGGCACTTTGAGTGGGGCGAGAGACGTCCTAGGGAGTTTTGGTATAAAATTACATTGCATAAGCTCAAAATCTTCTTGAAATATCGCCCGGATACATACAGACAGAATGTATAAATTTACGACCTTGAACTTTGACCTTTTGACCTCAAAAAATAAATTTTGAAATATAGGCCACAGGGAGTTGTTATATAAAATTTCATTGCAATAGCTAAATGGTTTGAGATATTTTTTGGAAAAAAGTGTTTTAACAGACAGAATTTGCTTATTTATGACCTTGACCTTTGACCTTTTGACCTCAAAATCAATAGGGGTCTTATCAGTCCATAGGGAGTTGCTATGCTAAATTTCATTGCAAAAGCTCAAAGGGTTCTCGAGATATCAAAAGTGTGGAAACGAAAGCGTTACAGACAGACAGAAAGACGGACGGACGGACGGACAGACGGACGGACGGACGGACGGACGGACAAACCCAAATTAATATCCCCCACTTTTCAAGCGGGGGACAAAAACAATCCTCAAGCATAACTCTGTTTGGTTTAAAATAAAAAAAATTGAGTCACCATGCATAAAAGAAAACTAATTACATGTATTCCGTTATTGATTGACTGCTTTTCCAGCAAGAAAATAAAATTAATCTTCAGAAATGTCATTTCTACTGGGTAGAATTCACGATATTTGCCCATTTGTGCAAACCGGGGTATAAAACAACATGAATACATGTATTCATACGGGATACTAGTACTTCAGGGAATCGATTTAGAATGTAACAAAAATTTAAACATTCAACATCAAAACGATTCAAAAATTCTTTTACATATTTTAATCTTCGTCTAATTAAAATAATAATTGCGTGAGTTCCTAACAAGGAATTTTAATCTGCTATAGTATTGTTCTTTCTCTAAATCATTTTCCTTAAAAATTTTAATTGCCCTGACATAGAAATGAAATGTTGACAGAAAAGCATTTATTTCTTCCTACCTTAGAAAAATATAAACGTAAAGATGCAATTGTAAGTAAATATGACTTTCTTTACCAATTATCCTTAGTTTCTTGCTAAGACGATTGAGGGGCGAAATGAAAAACATTAGTATCCTTGTGTGTTCAATAATTTAGAAGTGAAAAAAAAAATCAGATAGATTGTTTAATAGATCAGTATGTACTGGTTCCTGCTAACAAAACTAGAAAGGATCGAAATTTATGGTAACTAACAACAAAACCTTATGACAATTGCGATGACTTCAACTTTTCAATGTTTTGTTTTTCTTCTCTAGTTTTTTTTTTAGATTAAGTCAGTATGTTTGAATATTTAAAAAAAAAATTATACCTCTACTCCTCTAGATTTTGCACAACATTGTAGCTTTCGATATTATGAGCAACGGATATTTCATGTATTGCATTGCTAAATTAAAAAAAAATGTTCGTCTTAATCAACTTTCCAAATTTTGCCAGAAACAAATCATAAAATATTTCATTGATCACTCAGCGAGAACATACGTACTGATGTATAGTTTCACTTGATAAATGCAGTCCGTTTTTTTTCTTCATCTGAAACTATTCGTATTAAATTTCAATCTACATGCTTAATAAATTCCACAACCAAATTCCAAAGTATACTTATCATCCACTTAACACATTACTTATTACTAGGATTTCTAAAGCTTTGTCGATATCGATAAATACATTTCCAACCTCGGATGTCGATTTTGTTTAACTGAAGATTTGTTACTTTAAACAAAGAGGGTCAAAAGCACAACAGAAAATCAATGTCGTGCGATAAAAAATTTTGCAATTATAACCAAATTCAGTTCAGAAAATAACTTTCCTTTAATACCGTAGACACAATCTTATTTTATGAATTACTTTGACTCAGGAATTTTTTTCCCTATACCTTTTACCTCTTCTATTCAGAGAAAATTGTATTATTGTACAGCAATATTGGAACGTATCTCAAATTAGGAGATAAGTACTGTTTGCAGGGAAATTTTCGCCCCGTTTTATTTTCGCTCTTTTCGCCCTATCGTCATATGGACGAATTTAAAACGAGGCGAATTCTAACATTACAGTATAATTTCTTATGCACTAGGACTAATTTTAAACGCCACAAAATTGTTTGCAAGCGTGAAAGGGCGAAAATAACACGGAGCGAAAATAACCCTGTATATACATTACAGTATTTTAAATCTTTAGAACGAGTCGAAAAAAAGAGAGGAAACAGAGGAAAAAATTCAAAAGTTTTGAACATTATTCTGAAAGCAATTTTTTATTGAGGGGGGGGGGGGGGTATTTGAATTTTTGCGTCGAATTTTAAAAAGAAAAAGATATATATTGACATTTAAAACTTTTGTTTCAATGTGCGCCCAAAACACCAACAAAAGTTAAGGGAAATACTAGTAATAATCTAATCCGACTGAAATCAGAAAGAATTTTAATACATTTAAGTTGGCTTAGAATATAAATACCCCGTATATAGATGTTTAAATATCAAAGAAAGAGAGAGGGTGAGAGAGAGCACCTTAGCTAATCTGGATGATGAGGGTTCCTCCAATGTCAGCCATATCTTCCGGAGGATCCTCTTGACTTGACTTGTACGACATTCTTCTTCAGTATAGTCCAGTACATATTCCTCAAACGTCTTCTTCAACATCTGTGTCGTCTGGATATCGGCCTCGGATTGGATATATTTCTGTAGACAACAATCTGATAACATTTTGGGAGAAAGTTCCCAAAAATCCAGTTCTTGTTTTATCATAGTACCACAGTAGGATGAGGGGAAGTGGAGCGCCCCGGTACGATAAAGATCCAAAATCGAGAGGAAAAGGTCGGGGTTTCTGTCGAAAAAATAACATTTTCTTTGGTTATCATAAAACTCGGATTTTCTTGAAAGTCTTCCTAGTAAAGTATCTGGGTATCGAGAGAGAGTTTGAGTTCTAGTTTCATACACCAAACCCCCTACATTGATCTTCACAATGTCCATCCTGCTCAATCACTGGGTGCAGATGATATCTAACAATGGTAATGCAACAACTTAGTCGAGAGATGAATGATTAATTATCATTGATTCCCTTTTAAATATTTTGAGCTTTTTATTGACACGAAAGATAAGCAGGCCTTCTTTTTCCAATATAAAGGTTATGATTTTAATATCCAGCCATCACTTGTATAGCAAATATAACTGTACAAACTTCCGTTAAAATCTCGATAAAAGAACAGCTTTGTATTGCGTTATTCTGGTATTTTCGTGTACACAGATACCAAATAGAACATCAAGAAAGAAATGGAATAAAATGAGGTACTGATGTCTTTTTGTTGTAAGAGCTAGTAAGTAGCCCAGTATTGAAGAAATTATATACTATCAACTAACAATACCGCTAAAAAATTCAACGGAAGACGAACTGCTGCAGTAAAACACAATAGAAAAGGTTTAGCTGAAATAGGACACCGTGGTCAAAGTTTGTTTGCTATAAAACAATGGATAAGGTTTACCTGCAAATGGACATCGTAGCCAAAGTACAATGCAAGTAACAATAACACGCAATGATTATCAATTTTAACTAGCTACAGGTACTGTGAGCAATCAGCTCACTAAATGATACCCCGCCTCCCATATGAATATAATGGTAGTATCCATGTTTTGCTATGGGAAACCCAAAATATGTGTCGGATCAAAAAGTAAAATAGGAGGTGCACAATTGCAATATGTAATAAAGATTCTGTGAAAAAGGTGGTATGAGAGGAGTTGCGGATAAGAGATGGGTACCCCAAAGCGTAACATACGGATGGACGGACATACCGATTACTATATACCCTTCCGCTTTTTAAGCGGGGGTATAATAAAAGCATATACTTAATATGATCGGAGATGAACGTTTAAATCTACATGTAATATGTTATAAAATCTTTCTATTTATGTTAAATAGGTGGATTAAGCATCCCCGTTGACGGGTAACAACTGCTGTATGTACCTTGTCATGATCGGATAAATAGAAATCCTGAAGCAAAAATTGTATGGAAATAATGACCTAACAACTTATACGAAAGACGTCAGTTAAAAAATTAACGACATAATTTTCAAATATGATTATTGTGAAAAAATTTGACTATTTAATTAGGGGAGTATTATTTTTTTTTTTATCATCAACTTATTTGTCAATGATATGTCCCGTTTAGGAAATCGTTCTTTTTTGAAGACCATGTCTTCCAACAAAATATTGAAATTCCCATGGGTAACGACTGCGCCCAGTTATTAAGTGTCCTAATTTTGTATTAATGTGAAGCAGACTTTGTCCAAAATCTTTAGATATTCAGACGACATTTTGAATTAACAATGCTTTCAATTCCTATGGCGATACGATATATATTCCAGTGAGCTAAAAATAAACGTTGCCACAGAGTCTGACACATCTATGTCATATTTTGCTATTTTACTTGAAAAGACGTTAATGGTAATCTAAGAACCAAGCATTATGATAAACATGATGACTTTAACTTTTCAATCGTCAACTTCCCTTACTTAAGCAGCAATGTACCCTATCACCTGCATAGGGGGTTTATACCTTTCAGTTGATTCGAAACGCGAGATCATGCTCCACGTATAAAAAAAATTCTAAAACTGGGTAAATATTGAAAAACAAGAATATCAACAGTCTCGTTTAAAATCATCATTTGGTAAGTTATCAGTCTAGTCGAACCCTCAAACGGGGGTATACCCCCGAACGAGGGTTTTCCTTCCCTTAATGCAACGCGCGAAAGTCAAGAACGATAACTCTTCTTATTTAAAAAATATATATATTTTTTAAAAATCACAAACATGCAAAAATGATTCGTCTACACCTTTGTTTTCAATTTAAAAAAAATAATTAATTACTTTTCGTTTTTATTTACCTCATTTCTGAAGCACAAAAGTTTGTTTACAGGACAGAGGAAATTCTGACGGGCACAGAAGAAAGTGTCGAAAAATAATTAATACTAGAGGTACTGTGAGCAATGAGCTCACTAAATGATACCCCCCGCCTCCCATAATGTCCATGTGTTGCTATATATTGTTTTACGGTAATGTGTAAAGAGGAATAACTCGTCCTATCAAATGTTATCCAGAAGCTTCTATACATATGACGTCATAGGTAAAGATATAATGGCAATGTCCATGTTTTTGCTATGGGAAACCTAAAATACGTGTGGAATAAAAAAGTAAAATAGGAGGTGCACAATGGCAATATATAATAAAGATTCTGTGAAAGTTTCATTAAATTTCACTCAGTAGTATAAGAGGAGTTGCGGATAAGAGATAAAGCGTAACAGACGGACGGACGTACAGACAGACGGACGGACGGACGGAAATCCCGATTACTATATACCCCCATTTTTCAAGCGGGGGGTATAAACATGTTCATTACACAAAATTTGTAATACCGGGGAACGGAATTATATGTAGTTTAACTTTAAACAAAACATTGTTTGTTTATTCATCCGTTTTTATTAAATTAAGCATAAAAAATCTAGTTGTATCAAACCTGGTGGTTAAGGCACAGAATACGCTAACTTTGGGAGAGAAAAAGTCTCGATTTTTGCAATAAACATATATTTTTTCGCAATACAATCTCTTTTTACATCTTTAATCTATCAAATTTGAGTACATACAGAGCTACGAAATAATCCATCACTTTGCACGAGCATATTTTGTGGCCACACGTTTTTCCGTGAAAACGACACTTTTTTGAGTGTCTGCGCATGCGCGTACCCCCGTTTGAAGGTACGGATTTCCTACTTCCGTTTACCCCCGTTTGAGGGTTCGACTAGACGTGTAGACTGAGTTATAGGGTCAATATAATGACCTTGTCAGCTATGCTAATATAATCTGTCGTTAAGTCAAATGCTGACTTATGTTTTTCATACTAATGTTAAACCATTATTATACCCCCGCTTGAAAAGCGAGAGGGTATATAGAAATCGGTATGTCCGTCCGTCTATACGTCCGTCTGTTACGCTTTGGGGTACCCATCTCTTATCCGCAACTCCTCTCATACCACTGAATGAAATTTAATGAAACTTTCACAGAATCTTTATTACATATTGCTGTTGTGCACCTCCTTTTTTACTTTTTGATCCGACACATATTTTTGGTTTCCCACAGCAAAACATGGACATTGACATTATATTCATATGGGAGGCGGGGGTATCATTTAGGTAGCTCATTGCTCACAGTACCTCTAGTTTACAACTAAATTGTCGATTGATTTTTCCATTAATTCCTGATTATGACAGGGAGCATTCGGTGATGATTTGACCGGTCGGCAGGGAATGCTCTATCCTCATGGCACCTGATCCCACTTCTGATGTTTTAGATGTCGTGTTTGCTCTGATCCTGATTTGTATTGTTTTATGGACTTTTGAGCCTGATTACTGTTCGTTTTCTCCATATTTCATTTGTGACGATCACAGGAAGTAGGTTACAGAAAGGCGTTAGTCATAGTTTTAAAATTGAAATTTATAAATAATTTTAAATCAAGTATTTTAATGAAAATTCTTATTAATTTCGACATGCACATTGAGATATACATGTACATACACTGTAAAATAATGAATATATGAAACATAATTCTTCACCGTGCTCTTCATATTTTTTCTTCACCCTTAACTTTAGTCATGTAAGATCTTCTTCATCATAGTCAATAATGATGACCTTAACTCCCTTACTTAACTTTCTGCTTTAAAAGGGCACAATCAAACACTGTATTAATCCATCTGGAATATTATATTCATTGAAGGCCACTGTTCATGCATTGTAAAGTCATATAAACAAGGCGGGTTTAATATTTCATTGAAAAAACTGGCTTCATTAAATCATTTTATAATAATAAATATTATGAATTTCAGTTCCATATCAATTTTGAAAGATAAACTTTTTGATAACCCCGCGCGTAAAATAATGAATATATGAAACATAATTCCAAACACCCTTAACTTTAAAAGACTGACACTTTGCTTTAAAAGGGCCAACATTAAGGGAACTCCGACCAATATTTCAACTGGCTTCATTAAATCATAAATATTATGAATTCAGTGAAAGATAACCCCGCGCGAAGGTCCAAACATAAAAAAGACTGACACTTTGTCAGAATGCATTGAAAGTGCTTGTATCCGATCGATGTTGAAATCAATATCACATGTTAAGCGATTCAATGGCAATAAAAACCATCTCTCCATTTATTTCCATTTATGCAGTAGTGAAAAAAATAGATTGATCACACAATCAGTACGTACTGGTCCAAGCTGACAAAACAGGTAATAACATTGTCTTTGTAAGTTTTTAAATCGATTTTGAAGGACCTGGGATTTAATTCTGTGTGTAGCAATCCAACTTATACCTCTTTCTTCATTTTCTTCAGAGGAAAGTCTTCAAGATCATATTTGTAATTTTTCCAACAATCAAACTGGATTTGAATTACCATATCTATCCTGGAATCCTAGACCGCCTAAAATCAATTCAAAGGAAGATACGTGGCGGATTCCAAATATTCTGCCAAGCCTCTATCTCCCCCTCTATGAAATATTGACAGAGATGAAGGGGAAGTTTTGTCAAGAAATGCAGTGAATCAGACGCGGATATTCAAAAACTTCTGATTTTTTTTTTAGAATTTGAAATAACATTTAAGCAAAATCAATAATACTAAAAATTTCAAATTCCTCAGAATAAATTAAAGATATGTATGCCGTGTTAAACAGTATATTTGCACAGCTGTAACCAAACAAAAATTTCTGAAGTATGATAAGCTATCAAATACGAAAGCCTATTAGGATCAATCTAGAGAGAAAAAAAATTAAAAAGGCGTTATAACGCCTTTGAAAAGGCGTAATAACGCGAAAAAAGGCGTTATTACGCCTTTCCATTCCAAAAGGCGTTAAAATGCCTTTTTAAAAGGCGTTATAACGCCTTTCTAAAAGGCGTTATTACGCCTTTCCATTCTAGAAGGCGTTATTACGCCTT